GGTGGGGGGGGAGCCTGCCGTGCCAGAAGCGGCTGTTGTTGCACATGCGGGTGTCCAGCACACGCAGGTCCAGCTCCTGCAGCGCCCGGGCCAGCCGCCCGCCCCGCTGGGTCAGCCCCCAGCCCGCCATGCTGCACCGCACTCCTGTCGCCACTGCCCGGCGGCCTCTGGGCAAGGCCAGGGCCCGGATGGTCCTGGTGGACTTGACCTTCCCGTCCAGCTGCAGGGATGGCGGGGGGGGGCAGAGGGGCGCAGGGGACTGGGGAGGGGTGGGGGTGAGGGTGGTGGGGTGCTGCCCACACCCCACCTGGAGCAGTGCCAGGTCGTTCTCCAGGTCGGGGGCCGGCTTGTAGTAGGGGTGCGTGACCACCGCCTTGATGCGGAAGGGCAGGCCGGGGCCGTCCAGCTGGTGCAGCCCAAGTACCAGCCTCAGTCTGTCTGTCCTGCAGGGTCAGAGTGCAGACGGCTGGCCCGGCTCAGGGCACCCCTCCACAGACGGCCACTGCCCCGTGCCCGTCCCTGAGCCCACCCTGCTCGACAGGACAGGGCCGCCTAGCCCTCACCAGGCCTTCCCTTCCCCTGCGTCACCCCAGCTACCTCCTCCAGGGAGCGCCCCCTGCTCTCACCCCTGCCCAAGACTCCTGCCCGCCCTGGACCACGGCCCACAGCCCTGGCTCAGCAAGCTCCTGGCCGCCCACCATTCTCCTCGCTTCCCCTCTGCTGACTCCTGACCCCCAGCAGAGCACGCCGAACCCCAGCAGGTGGGTCGCCTGGTCACCTGCACGTGCCAGACCCCGGCAGATGGGTCACCTGGTCACCTGTACGTGCCAGACCCCGGCAGGTGGGTCGCCTGGCCCCCTGTGCGTGCCTGGCTTTTGCTGCAGGGGGAGTGGCCACCGTGACCTCAGTCTCTCAGGCTGCCTGGGTGAGGGGTCACTCACCGTGAGCCCAGGCAGTGGGCAGCTGTCAGCACCCACCGTGGGTGCACCAGGGCAGCCCCACACAGGTGGCTGCCAGATTTCTGCAGGGAAGCCATGTACGGGTGGGAGTGGGGGGCGGCCTCGTGTCCCCCGATGATCTGGGCCTCCGACCAGCCACCTCCTGGAGAGGGGAAAGAAAGCAGGTCAGTGTGGGGCCACCCTGCTGATGCGTGCCTGTCCCCCAAATCGAGGAGCTCCCGGGTATCCGCGGCCCTCCGTGCGTCCACCCCTGGGGCTCCAGCAGAGGCCCTGCCTACGCCTGCTCCCCGGCACCACAGCCAGGCCCCACTCAGCAGCCGGCCTCACAGAGGGGGCCGGGAGGTGGGCCGCACTGGGGCTCCTCGGACGGTGCCAGGCACCACGTGGGACCTGTGATCCTGCTCCCTGAAGACAGATGAGCGGGCCAGAGGGCGTGGTGGTTAGGGCAGCTGCGTGGTTCAAGTCTCAGACCTGGCGCCTGTGTGTGCGTGCTGAATTCCTGACAGGGAACAGACAACAGATCGTCTCGTGGCCTTTCCACTCGAAATGCGTCCTCACGTTCTCTCCCTCAGTCCTCTGCGTCTCTCCAGAAGCTCATGTGCCCGTTAGAAAAGGAAGCTGTAGACTTGAGTGGGTCAATTAGATTTTTTTTCTGAGAGATTTTTGTTGGGCCCTCAGGTGGTGTGGTGGTTAAGGGCACTGGACTCCCACGTGGCCGACTGTGGTTCGACCTGGACCTAGCGGCTTGCTTTCTCACTTTCCCTCTCTCTCACTCTGGTCAAATTAAAGTAAATAAAGTTAAATAAAATAATTCTTTTTTCTTTTTTGGAGAGGTGTTTGCTATAGGGCACGTGCATTTGCCAGAAAGACAGAGACAGAGAGACAGAAAGCGAGAAATCACCCCCGGGGGGGATGGCCACGCCACAATCCCTTCTCTTCCATTCTCCTCTTGGAATCTTGGGCACGCACACACACGTGCCCGGCGTGAGTTTAAGCCTCCGGGTCCAGGACTCCAACTGCGGTCGACTACGTGGGAGTCCAGCAACATAGCCAATTGCTGGTCCCAAATCATTCTTTTTTAAAAGATTATTTTTTGAATCATTCTTTTTTTAAAAAAGGGATTTTTTACGATATGAGGCATGTGTTTGCTGGAGAGACAGACAGACAGAAATCAGCCCCCAGGGAGGACGGCTACACCATAATCTCTTTCCTCCATTCTCCTCTCTGGAGCTTGGGCACACACACACACACACACACACACACACACACGCACACACACGCGCACACACGCACACATGCACACACACGCCTGACGTGTTTTAAGCCACCAGATCTGACTCGAACCTCTGTTGACGACGTGAGTCTAGCAACGTAACCATTCTGCCACCTCCTGGTCTAAGGGTGAATTACATTGTAAAAATAGAGTGGGTGAACTGTATCACATGTAATTATTTTCCAATAAAGCAGTTACAAAAATCATTTAGGTCAATTGCACTTTTCAAAAGATTGAAAAATAGTTCATGTTAGTTGTTCAAAATCTCCTTGTGGACCTCTGAGGTTCCTGACCCCTGGGCCAGCAGCGAGCCTTGGGGCCTCCTTCCTGACCCACATGCCCCACTGTCCTCCTGGCTGCCAGGGGCGCCTCCTGCCCACGCTGCCCAGTCGTCTGCCCAGAAGCTTTGCAGAGAGCCTGACCTCCCAGCGCAGCGCTCCCTGTCTTACCTGTGCACCACCACCTGCAGGGCGCTCTGGCCACCTCCCTGCAGGGCGCTCTGCCCACCTCCCTGCAGGGCGCTCTGCCCACCTCCCTGTGCGGCCCTCCCTGTCCTGCCTGGGCACCACCACCTCCCTGCACAGCACTCTGCCCACCCCCTCGCCCTGCCCCCCAGCACAGTCCCTTCTGTGGTCCTCCCTGCACTGACCCTCCCACAAGTCTTCTGCAGGGAGAGGCCCTTGACTGCCTGTTTTACCGCAAACCTGTGGCTGGGGCGCTCTGCACAGACTGTGGGCAGAGGTGGGGAGGGCGGGGAGTGGGCAGGGGAAGAGTGAGAGAGGGGGAAGGGAGAAGAAAAGGGGGGTGGAGAGATGATGGGGGAGGGAGGGGAGGATGAGAGGATGGGTGGATGGATGCATAGATTAATGGATGGGTGGACCAATCAGGGGATGATGGATGGGTGGATAAACAGATGGGTGGATGGATAAACAGATGGGCGGGTAAACGGATGGGTGGATAAACGGATGGGCGGGTAAACGGATGGGTGGATAAACGGATGGGCGGATAAATGGATGGATGGATGGATAAACGGATGGGTGGATAAACGGATGGGTGGATAAACAGATGGGGGGATAAACGGATGGCGGATAAACGGAAGGGTGGATAAACGGAGGGGCGTGTAAACGGATGGGTGGATAAACGGATGGGCGGGTAAATGGATGGGTGGCTGGATAAACGGATGGGCGGGTAAACAGATGGGCGGATAAACGGATGGGTGGATGGATAAACGGGCGGATAAACGGATGGGTGGATGGATAAGTGGATGGACAGGTGGGTGATAGATAAATGGACACATAGATGGATAAATGAGTGGATGGATGATAGATGGATAAATGGTTGAATGGAAGGATGATGAATGGGTAAACGGATGGGTGGATGGATAAATGGGGGGATGGATGGATGGATGGTGGATGGATGGGGGCTGATGGATGGATAAATGGGTGGATGGATAAATGGGGGGATGGATGGATGGATGGTGGATGGATGGGGGCTGATGGATGGATAAATGGGTGGATGGATAAATGGGGGGATGGATGGATGGATGGTGGATGGATGGGGGCTGATGGATGGATAAATGGGTGGATGGATAAATGGGGGGATGGATGGATGGATGGTGGATGGATGGGGGCTGATGGATGGATAAATGGGTGGATGGATAAATGGGGGGATGGATGGATGGATGGTGGATGGATGGGGGCTGATGGATGGATAAATGGGTGGATGGATAAATGGGGGGATGGATGGATGGATGGTGGATGGATGGGGGCTGATGGATGGATAAATGGGTGGATGGATAAATGGGTGTTGATGGATGGATGGTGGATGAGTCTCCCCTCAGACAAGGATGAGGAGAGAGCTTGTGTTCTGCCCTGGAGAAACCCAGTGTGGGTCCCCTCCCCCAGGCGTGGCCAGCGACAGGCCTCCAACACACGAGGACTCGGGTCTCCTGTGGCTGCTGAGAGCAGGCAGCAGGATGGCTAACTGGAAAGTACAGCCCGGGTGGGAGAGCCGGCTGGGAGGCCCCCCAGGCTCACAGCTCACCGCCCTGCCAGCCTTGTTGAAGGCTTGTTGAAGGCCTGGGGCCTAGCCCAACGCCCTCATTGGGGTGCCCTTGTAGGACTGAGGGTGGGGCGTCATGTCTGCAGGACTCACGGGGTTCAGAGATGATGACTATGTACAAGCCCCCCAGCCCGGACAGAGCGACTCCAAGAAGTGCTCACAGCCATGGGTGACCACTCTGCAGGCTGTGCACACAGCTGTTCTGAGACCCGCATTGTGAAGTGAAAGTTTTTTGTTTGTTTTGAGAGGTTTTTGCTATAGGGCGCGTGTGCTTGTCAGAAAGACAGAGACAGAGAGACAGGAAGCGGGACAACGCACACCAGGGCCATGCCGCAATCCTGTCTCCTCCATTCTCATCTCGGGATCTTGGGCACACACGCACACGCGCACACTGTGAGTTTAAGCCACCAGGTCCGGGACTCGAACCGCAGTCGACTACATGGAGTCCAGCGATGTAGCCACTACGCCAGCTGCTGGTCCCCAAACTGAAAGTTTTCACTGTACCCCGATGCGACCTCCCCTCCACTCTAGGCCCCTGCCCGTCCGTCCCGACTAGCAGTTATGGGGACAGAGCTCATGGACATAACCTGCACACCTCGTGTTCTTAGTGCGCCCTAGTCCAGCCACATCCACCACCCGGGGAAAGCCTCACGCCCCACGGTGACCCTGACACCCCACGCCCGTCCCACCCGGTACAAGGGGGACTCCCCCCTTGGGGTGTCCACACCCTTCCCGCCTTCCTGACCCCCTTCCAGGTGTCCTGGCAGCAAGCACACCCGTCAGGAAAGGCCTGGCCTGGCCTCCAGACGGTCCACTTACTGGTTTTTTTGCTAGGGAGCAGGAGTGTTCACCCCAGAAAGGAAAGTGACAAAGCACCCCGGGGAGAGCAGGGCACAGTCCCCTCTCCAGGGCACACGTGTCTGGCCTGTCTCACACCACCTGGCTGGGGACTCCACTGTGTTGGGACCCAGCACCTCGACCCCCCTGCCGCAGCCGCCCCTCTGCTCCCTGCCCGCGTGGAATTCTCGGTGTGGTGTCCCCAGCTGTGCCGCCCAGCTCACCTGCTGAGGGTGCCCCGAGGGCCAGCAGCAGCAGGCAGGACAGGCCGGCCTCCATTGCGCTGCAGGGTTAGTTAGCCGCTGCCCACCCCACATCACCCCTTCCTGTGGGGGACCGAGGCCCCGCCCTGCGCCCGCTGCACCCTAACCGTGGCACCCATGTGGTCTGGAAAGTGCTTCTGGAGGGCGGGGCTGCAAAGACACCACAGCCCAGCGGTGGGGCCACCGGGTGCGCGTGTGTGGTCTCAGCATGGTTCTCACCTTGGCTTTGTTCTCGTGTAACACACACACACGAATCTTTTTTCTCTAAAATATTTAATTCAACTTATTATAATTGGCATTATCACTTTAATTTGACCAGAGGGAGACAGACAGAAAGGGAAAAGCTGGATCAGCCACGTGAGAACCCAGGGCCGCTAAGCACCACGCCCCCTGCCGGCCCCACACGGCGCTTTAACCCTCAGAGTGAAGGTGGCGTGCCCTCCTGCGGCTGGGACTGCTCTAGGGACCTCGAGTGGAGTGAGGACGAGCATCCTGTGACCAGCACCTCACTGAGCTCCCTTCTTTCCCCAGCCGAGTCAGAGTCCACCTGCGGGACACGGGCTGGCCAGGAGCAGCACCAGTAGACGTGTGGCCGCCGAGTGGGAGCGCCCGCAGTGTCCCCAGGCTGCCTCGAGGCCGTGTGCGGCTGCCCCCCAGCTGCAGGCAGGGTCTGGAGTGCCACCCTCCCACGCACATGGCATGGACCTTGGGAGGGGGCGTGGTGCATGAGCCCCTCCTGCTGCATAGGGAATTACCACTCCCAGGCTGAGTCCCGCACAGGGCAGGACGCCCAGGACCATCGGCCCCCACCGGCTGAGCCCGGCCCACGCGAGCACAGGGGTCCAGGGGCCCCATGCACTGTGGTCTGGCCCAGGCCTGCTCCTCCCAGCGACCTCAGAGGTGACAGCCCCCACTCTGAGCGCACAGGAAACAGCAGCTCACACCCTGGGAGAGCGAGCGCGCCCCCACCCCTGTGCAGGGGGGAGCCCAGGCACTCCCTGCCCGGCCACCGTGGGTGCCTGGCAAGGGTCCCAAAGCTGACCGCATGGCAATATGGCTGTGGCTGCCCCTGCAGGGAGGCCAGCCATGCAGCTGAGTCGGCCTCCGGGCCAGGCCGCGCCTGCTGGCGCTCTGCACCCCATTGCCCCATGGGTTCCTGGGAGCCGGGGGCAGGCTGAGCCAGTGAACCCAACTTCCGGGCGAGCCTTGTCTGGTGGGCACCGCTCATCCCAAATCCAGCCACTTGGGGCTTTAGTCACACAGCACTGCCAGGGTCCCAACGCCAGGCACATGCCGCTCAGACCCGGCTCACAGCCGCCAGTGCCCACAGCTGCAGGGGGACCCGCAGAGGGGGCTTCGCAGCCACCCCCACTTGGAGCACAGCATCCTGCCTCTCATGAGGGCCCCCGGTCCCCACTGCCCGTGACGCCATCACGCTGGGGTCAGTTTCCGGGACACGGACCTGGGGACGATGCACAGCAGCAGACGGGTGCCCCGGGCCTTCCGCCCCGCCCTCCCAGGCTGGAGAATGCCTGGTCACACTGGAGCTGCAGGCACCGGGGACCAGGCTCCTCCTGTTCCCACAGGCCACCCCGTCCGCGCCTGGGCTGGAGGTGCCACCTGTGAGTGGGGCCTGCTGACCTGGCCGCACCTTACTCCCGAGAGGCCCTCTGGCTTCTCATAAAGTAGTTTTATTTAGATTCAGACCAACCAAAGCAGAGAGGTGACCGCAGGCAACCTGTCCGTGTGCTGGGACCACCGCAGCTGGCACGCCCAGCCACGTGCCGCCCAGCGAGGCCTCCGCGGGCCAGCCGGTGCCCAAAGGCCAGGGCGGCCAG